TCGGTATTCTTTTATATATAAGATGGTCAAGACGTAACGGCAACAATGTAACGTGCAATTGAACTGCAGACAGAGATAAAGAGACGTATTGTTTGGTCGTGCGCGTGTGACGTTCACTGTTAATTATAGCGTTTGTTTAACTTATAGTGTGACATTGAAATTAAGTGAATTTCAAAGTTGTATTGAGAAAGAATAAACTAGTTTTATTTAAGAAAGGATTTGTGTCGCTAGTTTCATCGGAAAGAATTTTTACGGAAAATTAACTAACGACCAGAGACGTAACAAATTGGTGTCAGAGAGTGGGACGGAAAAGAAAGAAAAAATGGAAACGAGAAGCGGCAAATCAAGATACAGCTTAGCAGATTTGATGGCAGCAATACAAAAACAGCAAAAGAAACAAGAAAACAAACAAGAAGAGAGATTACAGCAGTTGTTGGAGGAAAAGTAAAGAAACAAGAAAAGAAATTACAGCAGTTGTTAGAGGAAAAAGAAAAGAAACAAGAAGAACAAGAAACGAAACAAGAAGAGAGACAACGGCAGTTGCAAGAAAACCTGCAACAGTGGCAGCTGGAACAGCAAAATAAACAAGAGAGATTACAGCAGTTGTTGGAGGAAAAAGAAAAGAAACAAGAAGAGAGATTACAGCAGTGGTAACTGGAACAAGAAAGGAAACAGGAAGAAAGTCAGCAGCAACTACAGGAAAGTCAACAACAGTGGCAAGTACAAATGGAAAACATTAGTAAATTTAAAAGTGAATTAGATACATTAAAGGATGATTTATTGTCTTTTACACAAGGAGGATACATTAACCATCGACTTAATCAGCCCCAGACAATTGCAAGCCCCGTCCAGACCCTGCAGCTAAACCCTAATGCAGACATCTTCAGTCCTGTTAGAAGTCACATCCCAGATATGAATGTCAGTAATAGGAGTGATCCAGTACGAAGGAAGCCACATGAATTTGATGGGAAGGCGCTGTGGGAAGCATATAGAGCACAATTTGAGCTACTGACAGAAATGAATGGATGGACAGAAGAGCAGAAAGGAGTATATCTGGCAACGAGCTTGAAGGGACAACCACTGGAAATACTTGGACAGTTGTCAGCAGACGACAGACACAACTATAGAGCACTGGTAGCGGCTCTAAAACTCAGGTACGGAACCCAAAATCAGTCTGACGTCTACAGGGCTAGGTTTAGGACGAGAGTCCGTGCTAAAGGGGAGAGCCTGAAAGAGCTGGAACAGGACTTGGAAAGTATGGCACACAAAGCCTACCCAACTGCACCACTTGATCTCCTTAAGTTGTTGCTGAGAGATCAGTTTGTATACTCCTTGGACAGTCCACAACTGAAAATACAAGTGAAGCAAGGCCAGAAAAGGTCAGCTTTCAGAGAAGTTTGAGGGACTTTGCTGGCACTGTAACAAACCTGGGCACAAGAGAGCTCAATGCTGGAAACTTCAACACAGGGAAGATGCCATGACAGGAAAGGCTGCTACCCAGAAAGGTTGTTGAAACTGTGGAAAGCAAGGACATATGAGGAGCCAATGTAAGAAGAATATTACCAACAAGTCAGCCTTAAGGAGACCAGTAGTGGTTGGTATTGAGGGACACTCACCAGCCCCCCATCATGAAAGTCCCAACAGCTAGGTGTAAAATGCCAAGCACAAACAGTGTCTATGTGACAGGAAAGCTGGATGGCCAAAGGTGCAACTTTGTCATAGATTCTGCGTCTCAGCAAACCCTTGTGAGCATCAAGGTGTTAGATCACGAAGGAGTACCAGAAGCCATACAGAAGCTTTGTGGTGTGACAGGGCATTCTTCAAGGTTGTGGGGACCAGTGTGGGTAACTGTTGAGCTCATGGGCATAATGGACAGACACAAAGTATACTTGGCTGACATTGAAGACGAATGCATATCAGAATTGGACTACTTACTACCGAGGAAATTTGTATTTAATTTTGATCAAATGACGTTTGGGAACAACAAAGGCCAAGTTCCGGTAACTGTTAAAAGAGAAGTTGAACTAATTAGGTGCCATCAAGCTGAAGTCAAAGTGACTGAAGAAGTTGATGATGATGAAGTGGAACCAGGTATAGATATTAAAGCAGAGCAGGAGAAAGATCATAATTTGAAGCCAATAATTGGTTTTCTAAAAGCAAGTGTTTTGCGCCCTGCTTGGGTGAAGGTGTCTAGTCTAAGCCCTGTGACAAAGAACTATTGGGCACAATGGGACCAGTTGAAACTTGAAGATGGTATTCTTGTCCGGAGATGGGAAACTACAGATAGGAAAGTGACGACTTGGCAAACAGTTATACTGAGGAAGTTACGGGAAGTTGTGCTGCGTCGATCCCATGATAATTTAACAGGAGTACATCTCGGAATT